AATTCTGAGTCGATCCCCTCCGGACGCTTTGAACCTTTGTAGTTACGTACAATCCGGTGACCATCCCAATGATGTCCATCTGGAATTATTTCACCTTTAGGGGTCAATTTGAGATCTGGAAATACGGGCGCTTCGGGTGCATCAGGCTCGACATCGCTGTCGGCTGGTAGAGGCGTACCTGGTTCGTATTCGTACTCATCTTGTGGCGGATGCAATCTGGACTCAAGAGGCACAGCTTTGGGTGTCTGCGGAATGACCTGGTCCTCGAGGCGATCGGCTTTGGGTGCTTTCGAGTCAATCAGAGCTTTCAAAGGAAAGATGAAACCCTCGGATGGCAATTCCAACCTCTTTGTTCTTTGGATTGTCAGTGCACCCCAGTTGACATGATAATCTGCAGCTTCCAACTTGGCAACTAAGTATTCACCCTTCCAATCATGACCTGGTTGGATGTAATACCCAAGAAAAATTCCTTCATTTGCTGTTGGGGAGAGCTTACCTGATGTGTTATCCAACCGCTTGGGGTTATTCCAGAATAACACTTTGGCACCAAATGGAATGTGCATTGCAGGGAACTCTTCACCAAACCTGAGTTGCCATGGGGAGTCACTGCCGTCAAGCTGGGGGCTTGCGTTGATCGCGGTCGCATGATGCTGCATGGCCAATGGCCACATCTTCAAAGGAAGTCCTGATTGCAACAAGTTGCTCCGGGCACCTTCCAACATCTGACGAACTTCGCGCTCAGCAAAAGACTTTGATGAATCTACATATTCAATGGAAGTTTGGTGTCTGTAACCCAAATCCTTGATGGCCCTGATCAATTCTGGGGAATTGTCAGTGTACACAACTTGAACATCATCCTTTGATCCAATGAAGTGATTCAAACCATCAACACAGCTTTGTGAGTCCTTGGACTGGCTAGGGTAGACATACCGATATTGGGCGTGCAGATCTTTCAACACCAATGCGACTTGCTCCCCCCTGAAACCCTCTTCTACGTTTTTCTTGATAATGACGTGATCCCCAATGACATGGTCACCGAACACCTCAGTTTCGATTCTCTTCTGACCACCTTTCTTTCGTGCCTGAGGTGCCATCATCCTTGCTCGTTGGCAGGTTCTGCAAAAGGGGTTCTTGGGGAAATGCGTGTATTGATGTTGGGTACTTGCAGCTTCAGCCAATAGATCCTCAGTCTTGCGGCTTCGGATGTACTCCTGCTGAGCGTCATCCTCCACATGCTCATCCAATTGCTCTTCATCTTGGGCTTCGTCCCGTTTGGCTTTTGAGCTCGACCGTGAGGTCGGCATTGCAAACAACTTTCTGAGGTGCTTATCCTTTTGAAATTGATCTTTGGGATAAACCTTGCAACTATCATCCAAAACTGGGACGTGACCTTCGATCTTGAGCTGGACGACCTTGTCATCTGGACGGACTAGGATTGGTTTGCCATTGGCAGGCCATACGAAACTGTAACCCTGATCTACACATCTCGTTCCTACGGAGAGCACAGCTGGGGTATGATCAAGTACATACGGGTGCACGGGATCTGGCAATGCGGACAACTTGACATCAGCAACCTCGTTTGCCTCGGTCGAACCATTGGCTGTGACTAAGGAAATCGGATGCTCGGCTGCACGGCAGTTCTTGGCACTAACATCCCTCAGCATTCCTTTGGACACAAGATCGGATTCACTACCTGAGTCGACAAGCCAACTAACACCGGCCTTTGGCGCGGCTGTGGCAATTGACGGGAATCGACCAATGTCTCTAAGGGCTTTGGGACCGCTAATGAACCTGCACTCTTTGCATGTGATGTCACGTGTGTCCTCATTCCAACAACAAAACCCACAACTAGGTGCAACATCTGAATCATGAAGTTTCACAGTTTCTTGAAGCTGTCTTGCACGAACCTGAGCCTCATGCTGTTCAACCTTGGATGAAACCGGAACATCTTCAGCTGTCTTGTACACCTCAGTGAACTCTCTTGGACGGTGCTTGACTGGGACTTGACGACCAACTGCCTTCACCTCGATCACATGTGGGGCCTTTCGGAATCTAAGGCGCTTCATGCTGACACTTGACTCATCGGAGCACGAAGTTGCCTTCGGCTGTTTTCGCGCGATGCATGCAAACTTCTGGATCAGGCATGGAGCGGCTGTGGAATCCTTGCTCTTCTTTTTGGGAGCGGGTGAATTGGCCCTTTTGGTGTCTTTGGTGGCGGCAGCAGCTTTGTCATCATGCTTATAAAAACATTTGTCACCACGTCTGCACTTTCCCTGGGCATGATAGATACATGGGGTTTTGGCCATTTCTTCCTTGGACATTTTCTTCCCCTTATCATCTTTATTGCCCCTTGATGGTGAACGTGTTTTGGTTCTTCTGGGTGATTGAGTTCGAGATTTGTCGTCCTTGACATGCTTAAATGGACATTTCTTCCCCTTATCACAGGTACCCTTTTGGAACTTATAGCAAATCTCGTCACCTTTGCCACCTCGTTCCTGCGATCTACCACGACTTGGGGAACCCTTTCGGCCACCACGACCATCGCCTTTGGCGGGTACGGCCTTCGTGTCCTTGATCCCAGCCTTGTTCTTCTCCGCAATGCGGTTCCTGTTCTCCCTCAATCGTTCACGATCGATCAAGTTCTTCATGGATTGGTGAAGAAAACTATAAGACTTTTCATGGGATTTCTCATGAGCACGGTCAAACATCTCAATGTCATACTTCAGCAACTGACTTGGTCGGATCTGCCTCAACAAGATGTCCCTTAACACAGCATCATCGGGGGTGACAGCCATGCCAGCAAGGGTAGCATCCCATTTGTTGATGAATCTTCGGAGATCCTGGACAGTATCGCCTACTTTGACAACACCCAAAAGATCTTCTACTCTGTAAAGGCTACCTGCTTCTTCTGATGTCTTGAAGTAGTCCTCAAACATGAGCAGAACATACCTTCCCCTGACCTGGATGCCTTTTCGGGATTGCTGCTCCTTGAAATTCAAGATCCTAGTTGCGAGGTCCCCTCCGGCTGAGCGCGTGAGCGCTGCTGATAATTTTGTATCCAGCGTGAGGAACTTTCCAGGATCTTGGAGTTTCTTCTCCAACTGCTCTCTGGTGCACTCTTGATCGTACACCTCATTGAGCCAGAGCCACGCCTCATCCGGGCGATCTGAACAGCTTTTCACTTCATCCCTGACATGATTCTTCCAAGTCCTATACGACTCCGGAGCGGGCATGTTGTTCAGCTTGATGAGTTCGGCCTCCTTAGTTTTTGGCTTATCCTTTTCTTCCCTTTGGGTTAAGGCTTTCACCAATTCAATAAGATCTGAGGGACCCATAACTTGCTGTTGCTTGGTTACGCTCTTGGGGGAGTCATTTGGGGGAGTTTTGATAGCTTCAGTGGGAGTGAAAAACCCTGACTGCGTTGGCAATTGGGGCTGGTCGTTGCCGACCGCCGGCTTTTGCTTGGGACTGCCACCTTTGAGCAGCTCATCCAACTTGGCCTTTGCTTCTTGCGCCAACACTGCAGGCGTCTTCAACTCATGAATCGGCTCGTCACTGCCTTTGGCAGCCTGTGCATCGGATGCTTTGGGAGTGGCAATATTGAAGTGAGGCACGCTAGTGGTAGCGGCTGGCTCGGCATTCAGGGCGGATGCTCTCGGAACGGAGGCATGCTGCGCTTTGGCAACATGCTTTAACTGCTCCTGAAGGTCATCGATTTGGTCCTGAAGGCTAAGGTTCTGAGCCGCTGCCTCATTGATCTTGTCGGCCATCTCCTTCTTGTAGTTCTCGAACTCAGTCCTCAAACTGATGAACCTGGCCTGATCAATTGCAGCCTGATCTTCATATTGCTTCTTTGTGGCAGCTATGGCATTCTTTGCATGTTCAACTGTCTGTGCATAAGAAGCTTCGAATTCACTAGTGATACGTTGCCTTTCCTCTGCAATTCTCTGATCATGCTTTGTGTTTGCCTCTGCCTTTACATCCTCTATTCTTTTGTCATTCGATGCCTGAGCCTGATTCAACCTGACCTCCATCTCATCGCCTCGTTTCCTCTCCTCGTTGACGGCACTAATGGCCTTACCTTCAATCTCCTGCAGCCTTTGCTCATACTCCTGCTCCTGCATTACGAGTCTACTTGACCATTCGTTTCGAATTGAGTCAACTACTCCATGCATTATCTGAAGGTGCCTCTGTTCAGCTTCCCTCATGACTTGCAGGGTATTCCCACTAGTAATCTGGGACAGGTTGTTTTGTATGAAGGTAAAGTACGCGACAACGGGTTGGAACATTGTTTCGTCATCCATCGGCTCGGGGTTGCCCCCGGCAACATTGGGCACAGCGACAGCCGATGGACCTGACCCTGGAACGGCGAGAGGATGGTCAATTGGGGTCCCCATAGCAAAGTAGTGAGACTACGGCTGATAACCTGTATTTTACCAGGTCAGCCAACAATATAGTACAATGACTATATGGGGGCGCAACAAACCGGTAAGCACTCAGCTCTTTTGAACCAACGCTACAGAGTAGATCGATGATATATATACTACATGGTTTTACTGCAGGAGTTTTTACAGAACCTAAGCGAAATCGGCGGGTTTGATGGTGCGAAATCATAGTGAAACCCCTTTCATAGTCTCAGTACCTTTACTAACCAGCAGTACCTGCAACAAACGGCTGAAATCCACAGAAAAAACAACCTTTCTGGTGCGGAAGCAACGCCCATTTTTGGTGGGCCAAATCCATCTCTTCCCAATTGTTGTACTGAAAATCACCAGTTCACCCTTTTTTTCAGTTGTTGAACCAAACAACTGACCGCCTTTTTCACTGTTGGAATCTAGATGTTCCATAGATTTATGATGTTCCTATTTTTCAATGTTCGAATTCCATGACGTATCTACCATAAGGGACTGTGGCGGGAAAATGGTGCAATCAGTTGGATACAAAGCCCATCGAATCTCAATTTCCCACCATTTTCCCTCATTTTGTCCAACAAAAGCACCTCAAACCCATCCCCTCACCACCCAGCTGCGAGTGGTGGTTTGGGTGATGGTTCGACAGGCCGGATATGCGCCACTGAGATCGCCAGTGGCCTTTTCCGGGGCCGAAAACAAGGGGTGAATGGGATAACAAGGGGAATTCTCCGAGGAAAATGATGGGTTAAGAGGATTTAATGGAGGGTAATGGTATTTACTGGGATTGGGATTTACTCGGATTGGAATTTCACCAGCAACAATTCCCATTTAGGGGGATTGGTTTTGTAAAACTGGGATGGTGTTATCATTTTATCAGGGTTTTTCACTGATAGATCATCATTTGTGGAATGATGAACATGTTAGTTTCATATATCATGTCATCCTTCGATAAAGTGCATCATCGAGCTATGGTGTGAACATCCTTGACTAAGGACGTTTCGAGTTTTTGTAAAATCCGATTTGAATCAAGATTTGATCAATAATGTCCTTTTGGTAAAAATAGGTTTGGGCCGGGAGCTGGTTAATCCCATCTATCATCAAACATTTACCTGTTGTTAAAGGGGTAAACCTTCAAACCCCTCTATTTTCATCAACCAAACAATGGGAAAAGGACATCTATGCCTAGCATGGAAAGATCCACCATTTATAGCTGGGAAAATCCACTATAAAACCATAAATTACCTACTTCAAATCCATTATGGTGGTATAAAACCAACCAACCAGCTATTGGCTATTGGGGTATCCCATAGATTATCCATGTTAAATTACCTATGGTATAATAAATGGTGGTAAAAAACCGGGGATATTCCTTGGATTTTCCTTGGGAGTCCATCACCGATTAAGTTAGCATCGAGGTTTTTTTTCGCAAGAACTGGGCATCGTTGGATATGATGGATTTATAGAAACCCCGTGCGGTTCTAACATATGATTCTGGCATATCGAAGCCGTTTCTTTTTCGGTTGAATCCAAGATATTTCATGCTTCAAAGATAGTTTCAGAACATGTATATTAATGTCAAGTTAGGATTAATAATCCCCACTATTAGGGGGGTAATTACTATTAGGCAGCCAACATTACCAGTGACTTGGTGCACAAACTCCTATGTCACTGTCACAACATTTAAGTGACCTAAGTCCTAAGTCACAACAGGGTGCCTATTACTTGGGTCATCCGAGTTGGATCGAAGTCACCGGTTGTTGGATGATTTTCCAGCCATGGTTGTGGTAGATGACACCGAAAAAAACAAAATTTGTTGAAAAAAATCAAGAATTATCTAACGGATAATACGTTAACAAAGAATTATCTAATATTAATATGATTATTTCCAATATTGTGAAGAATAACTATCAAGATATAACCGGTTCAAGAATTGATCTTCCACAGAGGCCAAAGAAATTCAACGGATTGGTTTAGGGAACATTTACTTCGGAATACCCCAATATTGAATGGGAAAATCGATGGTTTCCAATGTAGATTTTCCCTTAAACCAATCCGTTAAAATCCATTAACATCCATTAACATCCATCAAAATCCACTAAAAATCCACTAAAAATCCACTAAAAATCCACTAAAAATCCATTGACAAATGCCAAAGACATGCCAAAAAGTCACCACAAAACCCGGTGGCTTTTTCACGTTCCGTGCCAGGCCTGACAGGTTAAGACCTCCACCGTGCCGAACCAGCCCTCAGCACAACTCACCAAGCAATGCTGTCCTGTGACCTTGGAGATTGGGACCCGAAAAAGCTGGGGATAACTGGGGATAGTATTAGGGAGATGGGGATCATCAAATAAATCAGATATGGCTAATATATGGTCATAGAGTTAATAGTAATGATTAATGATGGTTAATAATGGTTAATGATGGTTATTATATGGTTTATGAATGTTTGGTTAATATATATATATAATCTGGTTGGTGGTTTCAACCTACCCCTCTGAAAAATATGAGTGAGTAACAATTGGGATGATTATATATTCCCAATATGATGGGAAAGTCATAATCCAGTCATGTTCCAGTCACCACCAAGCAGATAATAATATGGGATCATCATCAAAGTTCCTGTTGTTGGTCTATAGCCTATGAAAACCACTATTAACCATCACTATTAACCATGGTCATTAATGGTCATTAACCAAATCAAAGTATGGCTTCATCTGATCAAATCATATGGGAGATGGAAAAATAATCATCTGGAAATACCAAAAAAACTCTGATCAAAGAAATGATGAATGTATCTCCAGATGAATGTTGCCAGATGAAATACAAAATAATCATTCTGATGTTGCCGGAATTTCGGGTTTGTGATGAAAAAAAAGTCATGCAGAATGAGGATTTTGATCATTTTGAGCCAGTGTTTTGTGGCCCCGAGCCATGGAAAAAACTATACCATAAACCGACCATCAAAACTAGCCTGTTTACAATTTCTCTGAAAAATCAAAGATGCCTTCAAGACCCATCACTTAGATGTCACATGTTTTTCAAGATAGTAGATTGTAACTCCAATTTGACACAGTTGTATTTTTATTTAATGTTCTGCATCTTGTTGAAGTCTCTATGAATTTCGAGTAAACAGTGTACTGTATACCATGGTTCATCATAATTCTCCTATTCAGATGCAAATAGCTTGGGGGCAAATCCCCCAATTCTCAGACAGACCCAAGTATCATATTATTAATTTGCTATCAAATGTCCAGTTGTATCCTCACAAATTAAATCCATTAGTTTGGTTGTATATATTGGTTGTATATAACACATACATATCCTGTTGATTTCCATCTTCCCATTCACTAATAGAATTCCCATTTCACCATATTTCACCAAGAATTCCCAGCCAGGTGGCGACTGCACTGCAGTTGTGCACGTATCGTTCACCCCACGGCAGGTTGTAAAGACACTGCGATGCCACGCACTGCGGCACCGTTCCGCGTAGGGTTACGGAGTCCTCCTGAGGGTTACGGCCATTGGTGATTTGGGGATGGGTCAAAACCCTGGTACCCCTGGTGAACCCCAAGTCATAGCTGGGATTTATGGATGTGAATAACCCACTAAAAATGTATCTATAGGTATTGACCCATACCCATTTAAAAGTATCATGAATCTTTTTTAGCCAACCATTAATGGTGATTCATCCTAAGTCACAAACTGAGATTGAGGGTGTTTTCTTTAATCCAAACCCATCATTCATTGGGTAAAGCCACAAGGAGGTCCAAACAAAGCAGCCAGAGAAATCATCGTTGATGTTGGAATCGTCAAACAGTTGGTAGAAACCACTAAGTTTCTTTAGTGATTCCCCTTACCCATGTTGAAACCCAAGGTTGAACCCCCATAGTTAGTTTCCATAATATCCACATATTTCACAGATTCAAGTGATTCAAGTTCGATGTTTGTTACCCAAACCTCATTCCTAAAACGTGAAATTGTTATACGCGTAAATGACTGTACATTTTACCGGGCATCAATTGATGCTTTTGATGTAACAGACTGTGGCTTCAGCAAAGTATCTGGACAGGAGGCATCTCAGGGCGGACAAAAAACTTCGAATCAGGCATGGCGCTATTTGAGCCAAGGTTATGGGTTCTACCCTCCTTGAGTATCACAATGTCGTAAATTTAATGAACATTCTGATTACATCCCAGCATCGAATCCCATATAAACCCAGCATCAAATCCTCCGAATCGTCAAAAAAGGGGGTAAGTTTCTACCCAGCTTTTGATGCCGTTTCTGCTATTCGTTTGTAGGGTGAGTTCATTGGAGTTTAAGGGCTATCCCATTTTCAAATAAACCGATTTAAATCGAGGTTTGTTTTGACCGTGCCACCATGTGTTTGGTAAAGATTTACCATACTCACCATCTATAGTTGTCCGGTCAGCCGGTCAGCCGTTGTCCAGTCGTCAAACCAAACGACCGGATGACATGGTGAGAAAAATCCGAATTACATCCCCCGTAATCCATGAAAAATCTCCATGCTGATACCATTATTATTCCAGATCAACGAATATCTCCCACATGAATTTGGAATCCGATAAAATCCCCCAAATCCCCTTTAACAACCCAAAAATCCCATAAATCCCATAAAATCTCCATGGAAACCTACTAAATCCCTATAAAACCGACATTTTCCCAACGCTTTTTTCGCACCCTTTTTTTCCCCCACTGGCGCCGCCCTGGCCCTGGCCCTCCGGCTCCTCGCTGGGCGACACGGCGGGCTCCGAACTGCTGGGACCCAGGCAGCGCAAGCGCGTCGCCAAGGCCTCCTGGCATTGATCTACTAAATAGTGTCATTAATGGTGAAATATGGTTAGATGATATCACTATTATTGATATGGTTTATTTAATAGTATTATAGTCTCATGACCCATTCATATTATACTGGTTGGTGGTTTTAACCATCTTGAAAAATATGAGTTCGTCAATGGGAAGGATTATCCCATATATGAAATGGAAAATAAAAAATGTTCCAAACCACCAACCAGGTATCATTAATGGTTAAATATAATATCATTATGGTTAATAATGGTTCTACTAAATAATAATGGTTGATGTAAATATAATTGGTCATAATTATAGTTCAACTATTATCATCAACCAACATCTATATCTATATACCATGTTAACTAATATAGTATCATTCGTATCATTCGTATCATTATACTATGTGTATATATATATACGTATATATATAATGTTAACTAATATCTGGTTAACATTAATGTTAATATCTAGTTACTAACCATTTTGAATAGGTAAATCAACTATAAATGATCATTTTTCAACCAGAATATAATTGTTCAATATTATTGCTCAACTATTCTCAACTAATAGATTATCATTAATCTCGTCATGTCCTGCGTCAATGTTAATATTAAAAATTAGTATCATGTGAAATAGTATCATTAGAATATACTAATATTTTATCATTGGGGCCAATATATTTTGGATACCATGTAAAACATATTGGGTATTGATGAATAATATTGTATATTATGAGATTCATGGGTATCCAATGTTAATTGTTAGTATTGACAGGGGGGGCTCCAATGCTAATGGTGAGATTGATGGTGAGATTAATGGTGAGATTGATGATATTTATATATTTGCATATTCATAGTCGATATAGCAAAGAAATATGCGCTGATGACATCCATACTAATGATGAGAAATATAGAAATATCATGATGGGATGATTATATTAATGGATATCCAATATTAGTGGATATTAGTGGTAAGATTAATGGTATTACCATTGTTGTCTCACTTTGGATATGCATATCAATGGTGAGTGAATGATCCAAAGTAAAGGTATTTTACAACTAGAAATATCTGGGTAAATTATAATATTTCACTAATCTGAATTAAGGCCATTTGGGTATGATTTCCCTTATTAACGATGATTCCAGTGAGGGAGAATAGTGAGGTCGTTATAATTTATCCAGAAATATGTTCATTGATGATATCCATGATGGGTGGATCGCAGCAAATTCTTTGGAACTTTAGATTCATTATAAACAAATTCAGCCATGAGCACATATTTTTCTTGGTACATCAAGAATTAATGTGATATTAATGACAAATAGATTGGTTTATATAGATCATCTCTTAATCTCATCATATGTCTGAATAATCCCATGACCCATTCATATTATACTGGTTGGTGGTTTTAACCATCTTGAAAAATATGAAAGTCAGTGGGAAGGAGTGTCCCATATATGAAATGGAAAATAAAAGTAATGTTCCAAACCACCAACCAGATGAATATCATATTCCTATTGTTGTTGGTTTATAGCCTATTACCCACTATTAACCATCACTATTAACCAGCCGTTCATATTGAACTGCTCCTTTTTTCCTTTCCTTTGCAGAGAAATTGTGGATGCACAGTGGGAGGCTCCGGGGAGTTCCATCGGGTCCCAACACAAAACCCAGGCTTTCTGTGAGGTGAGATGAACGGGCGAAGGGATTATAACTACATAATATAACCCATATACTAAATGTGAAAATTGCAAAGCTGAATAGTGGCTGCAAGGCACTTGGTTTAAGATGACTGGAACATACATCTGGAGCATATCCCAACTCCTTTCAACACTACAGATTCCTCTTGAGAGCCGCTCTTCAAATGGCCTCCACATATTCGATTTTTTGGTTTTTTTATGTCAGAACATGGTCAGTTCCGAGTTGATTTCATACTTTTAACCATGTGGGTAGTTCACCGATGAGCCTCAATCATGTATCATGATAGTATATAATAATGATAGAAATTGAGTTGATTCTGCGGTTTCATTGTGATTCAATGGGAAACTGTGGTGGCTATTAGTGTATGATGGTCTTTTTTGGGGGAAATCACCATTCTTGGATGGATTTTGGCGTTTATTCAATGGAGTTCGAGAGGAAACTGTCATTTATATAACTTCATCATTTCAATCAACATGGCCTAACGCAAAGACAATTAGCTATGTACAGTAACTATTTTGATGGTGATTTGGTGTTGTTTTACTATAACTTAAACAACATGTAGATAGTTGAGTAATGTCGACTAGTAAACATTCATGATCTTGACTGCTGGTGTTCAAAAATGAATCTGAGTCTGGTTGAGTTGTTTTGTTACGTAATGGGACATGGTGACATGGGACGTCAAAATAATGATGGTGATTTAACTCATTGTGGGTTAACCCATTGTGGGTTAAGTAATTCTATGGTGACTCAACCCATGACTCATCGCAAGTAACCATGGGGCTGAGAATCCTCGGGTCCAAGTCACCAAAAATTGGGGAAAGTGCGAATTTAACATTGTTAAAAACCCATTTAACATGGAGAAATGCTGAGAACCATTGATTTGAAGTGGGGATGCAAATCAGGTTCTACGGTTCTACGCAACGAAAAAAACATTGTTTCTCTCTCTCTATCTTTTTGAGTGTTTCTTTGAAACATTGAACTACTCAAGGTTTACCCAGCAATGGGCGATGATTTTCACCCGCCAAGTTCATTGACCAATAAATCGATGGTCAACTCACAACTCGGTGTGTTTTGTTCAAGGAACATATGCCAAATGTCGTTACCGTTTGGCTATTTAACAGTTCGCCATGGTATAGATGGCCCTAATCGAAATAGATGGTTTACCTATTAATAGCATGGTGGATCTTTCCATGGCGAACTGTGAATGTCATAACCAGAGGGTAACTATTACCCATTAACCATAGATTAACCATCATCATTAACAGTATATTAACCATCATATATCTCCATATATTCTCCATATATTCTCCATATATTAACCATAGATTAACCACAGATTAACCATATTAATCATTTATAGATCCCCATTGCTGGGTACACCCATCATATTAACCATCAACAAATCACCCGGCATCGTCATGGTTGTTTCAGTCGCCGAGATGCGGCCACATAGCCAGGGGGACAATAGGCATAGCAGTTCTCACCAAAGCTCACCTGGAGCTAAGGGAAAAACCTGGATCTATGGTTGATACATGGCTAATCTATGGCTAATCTAGTTTTTCCATAGGTTAATCTATGGTTGATATATGGAAAATCTATGGTTGATATATGGTTAATCTATGGTTCATCTAGGGTTAATCTGTGGTTAATCTATGGCTAATCTATGGAAACCCCCAATCGATGAACGTCATGGTTGGATCCTGGAGAAGAAGCAACTGGATCCCGAAAAAAAAACAAGGACGGTATTCAATATTGCGGAAACCCGGGGCCCAACGACGCCAAACAGCTATGGCACCCGCACAGGTTTTCCTCAGGGCGTGGCCAGGTAGCTCAAGCGCTGGAGCCAGGCCGGCGAGCGAAAGATCTGAACATGCTAAAACATGCACAAGCCATGGTGCCAATTCACAGCACCCTATATTTTATGTGGCTTGTGGCATGTGCTTGTGAAACAAACTGACCAACCTGCGAGCACGGCATGGCAAAAGGGAAGTCAAATTGGGAATGTCCTTTAGATCAGTTCCTTCTTCCAAAATTCTCCACTTAGGGATATCTGCCGTATTGAACTCAGCTAAGGTGGTCCTCAAAGGAAAATCTTTCAAACAAAAACGAGGCGTTGGACTCCTAAAGCTTTTCGCCGAATGAGCCACATGTACGCCAATGTCATCTCGCATGTGCCATCCTAGGCTTTCACTGAGGTGTCGTGCATGACGTAGTAGATGTTCATCCTTTTCCAACATCTCTCTGCCAGGCAAATGATCCACTGCTTCAGTTTCTTTCTTCTTCTTGAAGTTCTGTTTGGTGTATTCCTGATTGTATTCAATGCTCCAAGTTCCACGCAACAGGGTCTGTCTCAAGTGTGAACAGTCCATGTCTTTCGTACCACCATCAACAAAGTTGTTTGCCGTTGCAGTCCATCGCATCTGAGTGTTTGGTCTTTTCAGCTGCTGACGAATGCTCGCAATCGAAAAACACAAAGATTTCTGCGTCCCAAAACCAGTATCCTGTGTTGTACGATCATAGGTGTCCTTGGCATCCGTCACGCCAATGAGAGGAATCTTGCAAATAGCCAACCAGCCATTGCGATTGCTAACATCCACACCCAAAGCTTCTGCAACAAAACCACGCGTCAATTCACCAGAGTCCAGAGCTTCTTCAACTCCTAACGTTTCTGACGCATAGCTGCTTCTGCAGACTCGCTGAAGGCGATGTGATCGAAAATCGAGCACATTGAATTGCCCGCTCTTGCCCTTGGCGAGGTTCTGGTCAGCATGAAGAATCGCATAGCAAGCTTGGGAATGCACTTTCTCACCTGCAGGGCGTTCATGACAACCATTGACATCTACATTACCCAATGCTGCATCACTGACTGCGACAACTCCAGAATTTGGGGCACCAATATTTCGAAAACGAATCTCAAAGCTGCTATCTTTCTTCACATCTAACAACAACTTGTTCGCACGAAGCAATGTACCCACAGTTGGAATTTCACTCTGCAAACTGCTGACACCAAATGCTACATCAAACCTCAATTGGGCTACCAACCATTGCAAACTTCCCAACAAACCTTTCAACAGTTTTACTTCCTGAGCTGTCAAACGTTCATGAAGCATCTTACGACGATCTCTCGAAACTGAAACTGGCTTTAACTGTGAGTGATATGGAACCATGGAAATGACGATCTCTTTTGTGTCTGGGTCTCGACGGATTCTTTTTCCACACCATTGGAAATCTTCTGACTCTATTGAACCAAACCCAAGCTTCTCACCAAGTCTTAGCAAACTTGCTCTTGCTGCATCATTTCCAAGAAACAGTATATCATCCACGTGACACACCAAACCACCCCACAGCTTTGTCGAATCTTTTGGATCTCTAAACCACCACAGTGCTCCATCTAATTTGCTTGCTGACCACTTCTCATCGGTCAGTTCCCGTGAAAGTCGTAAAAACCATTCCCTAGGTGCATCTGCTAGTCCAAAAACACCTTTCAAGATTCTGGCCATGATTCCTTCGCCCAACGGAACTGTTGGTCCTTTGCGTCCATCTGTGGCTACGATAAATAACTCTCTGGAAACGTATGGGTCACCCTTCAAAAAAGCAGATTTCACATCAGCTGACATCAAATGCCAAGAAGGATTACATCCACCCATGGAGAGCAAAACATGTTGTGCAGTTCGAGAACCAGTTGGACTGTCTCTACGGAGCTCGCCACGCAAATTCGCGAGGTCCTTATATCCTGGAACTACTATTCTTGCACTTGGTTTCTCTGGAAGTGGATTTGACTCTGTACGCAAACCAGAATTCTTATCTGTCAACACAAAACGAGGACGCAACACTCGGTCCAACTCTCCTTTTCGCTGGAGCCCTTGGTAAATTGCACGGCTCTCTGACATTGACAGAACCTTGAGTGCATTGTTATCTAACCAAGTCTTCCACTGAGTGTCTGCCGCTTCCTGGTACTTGGCTTTGCGCTCTGGAGACAAATGGCTCCACTGAAGTTCACGGTGCATAGAGGCCTGACAGACTTCATAGAAATCATCACTGGCACAACCGGTGGGCAACATCAACCCACACTCCAGGCACGTCTCAAGACGGTATCTGCCTGGCATTGACCATCTGCCATCCCACGTGCCAAAGTCCTCAACAGTCAACTTGCCCTCGGCGATGTCTGCACGTGCTTGTTCAACCGCACGCAACAAGGGATGTCGTTGATCTGACTCTGACATGAGAACCTCAACAGTCTTGGCATCCAGGACCAAAGGTTCCACTGCACGTCTCTTGGTTTCACGTGGTTGCGCAGTTGCACCTTCAGAAAGCGCACGCCTCACAGAATGCGAAGCTGAACTCATTCTGCCAGTTCTTGAAGTGGGAGTGCTTGGCTGGAGAAGTGCGGCTAGTGGCTTTTCCATGATATCAGCTTCATCAGTCGCGACAGTTTTCTGTCTCTTGGCGGCCTCAGAGGGTGTTCCTGGGGCCGTTCTTGAAGCTGATCTTACCTGTGTCGGAGTCAGGGGGGTTGTAGAGCTCTCTTGATGAGGCACTTCGGCTGGAGCTCCTTGTTCTTGTCCACCTTGTCCAGTCAGTCTAGACTGTGCCACTGTCGACGTCGGCGTCGGCAAGGAAGATGGTGGAGCACCCCTGAAGTTCATTGGATATGGGTATGGAAACTGTGTACTCAACCCACTCTGCGAAGCCGCAGACGAGATCCGAACCATATCATCAGGCACAGGAGGTAGTTCTGAGAGAGGGCCAACTGCCATCTCGGGCTCTTGTTCTTGCTGAAGATCAGGAGGTGTATCTTCAGGAGGTGGCGGATCACTTGGGGCATATTCATCAGCATCACCTGGATCACCTTCACGGTGTCCAGAATCATCGCGTCCATGAGGTTCAGAATGTAGATCCGTCGCTTCCACAATGTCATCCAAGATCTTTTCCCATTCCTCATGCGCCAGTCTTTCTAAAGTGCTGGTTGGACGGATATGTTCAGCAGCAACCTTGGTGCAGTTTCCACGGTAAGCCACATAGACAGCATTATAATGCCACCAGAATTCGACTCGGTTGTCAAAACCATAGCTGGACCATGCCACTGTCGAAGAAGTAGCTTTCGCCGCATGTTGGGATTCTTAGCCTTGCCCTTCTGTGAAGAAGGTTTTTGCTCACGGAAAAAATACACCAAGTCTCCAGGCTGATATTCATGCACCATCACGGGCTTTCTTGCCCTAGCTAACTCCGCTCTCCTCAATGCCCTTGAATACTTCAGCCGCACCATGGCCACTCTTGCACATTCTTTCATGGCTATCCTTCTTTCCATGGACGGAGTGTTCTCCAAGAGGCTGTGCTGAGCCAACCTCGCACGACTGCCATGGGGAACAACCATGTCTGTAGATCTGGGCTGTCTGCCCAGCACAAACTGCGCCGGACTAAAACCAGATTCTCCAACGTCACCGTTAACTGCCTCGCATGCTGCAGCTAAAACTTGCGACATCTCTTCACGACCTTGGGGGCAATGTCGAGAACTCACTGCCTTGCAGATTGTCTTCAAACTTTGACCACCACGCTCAGCAATTCCATTGACCCATGGGGCTTCAACTGCCGCATGGTAGAGGTTGATGTCGTGAAAGTCACAAGCTGCTTGCATCTCATCAGAAACAAACTCAGGGCCGCTGTCACAAATCAGAGTCTTGGGGACTCCCAAGATGGAAATCCAGGACTCATTGAGAAACTTCAAGACCTCCGTTGTACTCTTCTTTTCCAAAACCTTGGCAACCTGAAATTGGGAGGCTGCATCAACGGCATGACAAACCCAAAATGCTGTTTCCATTGCATCCTTCAGGCAGAAGAGGTCCATGTGAACTTGATCGCCAAAATGGCGGGCTTTCGGCAAGGTTGAAGGCCGATGAGATCGAGGTCGTTTGTTCTCCCAGCATATGTCACAGCGCAATTCACGAGCAGCACGCACAACTGCTGGTGTAGCACCTGCTACCAAAAGTGCCTTAGCCAGGCGTCGTGGATCTCTGTGCCCTGTGTTCTGATGCAAACGCATCACGGCTTGACGCTGTTCCTTTGTAGGCTCACTTGCTGAAGATCTTGTAGTAGAGGATGTAGGTCTCGCTGCTTCTTCAGGAGGTCGAGGAACAGGAGGATCTGTATCATGTAGTTCCCGCTCCAGCATCGCTTCAATGTCGTCTTCAGATTCTTCAAAATCATCACCTCCGTCATCGTGACCTGCATCATCTCCAGGCTCTCCATCTGCAGCAAATGCTTCATTGGAAGGAGAAAACTGTTCCAACAGCTCTTCCTCAAACCCAGCAACAATGGCTTCAGCCATCTGACGGGGATAATGTCCCGCTGGTCTCGTCACCTTAGACCCTCCAATGACAGGCTCATGTTGATGATCACCAGGGCATAGCTTATCTCGAAACCTGTCAGCAACTTTCTTGGAGGAAGTCAAGATGAGAGTTCGCTTTCGATGCAGTCCTCCTTGTGGACCTCGAAGGCCAAACTGGCACTGGTCAAACTTCACGCTGTAGACTCGTGGGTCATTTCGCAAGGCTCTCAGCTCAGCACACTCTTGCCAAGCTGCACTGGGTGCTGGATTCTCCAGCAAGAAATGACGTCCAGCGTCAAGTTGAGCACGAGCTTGTCTCGCAGCAAACTTCGTCAAGGTCAGCTCCTTCTGCTTGCGTCTCAAAAGCTTCAAGGCTTTCTGTCTCTTGTTTCTGCCAATCCTCTGCAAAGGACTCCAAACCACGCAAGGAAACGCAATCACTGCTGCAAAAGGGGCTTCTTCCTTCATCAACTTGCCACATCGCTGTCTGTCCTTCTCATTGTAGAAGTCATACTCAGGCAAGGTCAAGGGCTCCATCACCTTATGGCCTCTTGCATGAGCAGCACGAAGAACAGGAGCAGTGTCTGTAAAGATCTCTGCCGCAAAGATGCAATCAGGGTCAATTCTCTCACCAACCAAGGCTTCTGGGTGAGATTCATGATGAAGAATCGTGACAAAGTACTCGGCTTTCTCGACCAGTTGTGCACACCACTTAGTGTACTGTCTCTCCGCAAAAGGAACTCTATCTTCAAGGTGTTGCCACTCTCCATGCAAGTACATCCATGTAGATACAGGTTGCATAGAAGTAGGAGGAAGTGCAAGGTTGTGCCACCTGTAGGTGTTGGTGGCAACGTACATCTTGTCCAAGTTCTCCATGACATGAGAACCCTCAAAGAAAACCAAACGTGACTGTTCATCAGTCCACCTCTCCGCAGGCCAGCTGGCAGGACCATGGCCAACCTTCAACTCAAGCCATGTCTCTCCATACCAAGGACGGGCCAAAGATGGACTCGAGTCAGTGAGGAAATTGTCATACAGCTCCTCAGGCTCAGCAGAGTCATCTGAACCATAAACCACAGTGCAACGTCTTCCAGTGAAGGAGTTGGCAGGGATGTAGGGCAAGGTACCTCCAGCAGGCTGGAAAAGTCGTGTCCTTTTCATGTGATGCCTTCTACAAACCCAAAGACCACTCCTGCCAACATGCCACATGTCCTTCCGCTTCTTCGCCTCTCCATGTTGCACTTGTGCACAACGTAGAAAGCGAAAGTTCTGCTCACGTTGGCGTTCTTCACGAAGAAGTTCAGGATCTGCAGGCAGTTGCACTTCAGTCAAGAAAAGTTCAGGATGTCTGATGACACCTTGCTCAGCTCGTTCATAGCTTGACTCCATCACATCTCGCACGGCACTTGAGGATGTGCCAAGAGCCGATTCCAAACGGCGCACTTTTCTCACACCTTGATGAACTTGTTGTCGTAGTCCACGTTTCATGTCTTTGAAGCTGGATGGATTCATCTTGCCAATGGACTGTCTGATGTTCATTTCATTCTCATCCTCCGCCTCCGCATGTCCAACTTGTTGATGATCTCCATGCCCATCACTCAGCGAAGGTGGCTCGGAGGAGCCTCTTGCATCCAACCCATGTCCGTCGTCACTTGAAGATCGTCCTCCGTCTCCATCAACTCTGCGAGCTGGCGACGATGATCTCCATCTGGATAACCGGCTTGCCGTTGAGGATCATCCAGATCGTACCATTCTTGGGGCGCTGATGGACCTGTTCCGACTGCTTGACTTGAGGCTGCGGCTTTTGCTGCTGCGGCCTTCTTCGGATTCTTCAAGTCGGTCAGGGGCTGCTTCAACTTCTCTTTCAGCTGGTCCACGGTGTCCTCGGCCTTGAACTCGATGTGCATGAGAGCGCATAGCTCTTGCAATTCTCCTTTGAGTCTTGGCAAGCCTCCTCTCGGTCCAATCAGAACTTCGACCTTCTTCTTCCGATCCTCCTCTGACAGGCACTGAAGGCGACGACGCTCGTCCGCCAGGGCATTCTCGATCAAATGGCGCGGCTTCTGCCGCAAGGACATCACGGCATTGAGGACTTGTTGGTTCTCCAGGAAAGCCACTCGCATGCCAAGTCGCCCGCGTAGGGTGACACACTCCTTCAGGTTCACCAAGCTCATTCGAGACACTGCCTCCCTGGCCCATTTCATTGGCCAAGCCCTCAACTTCAACCACTCGTTCATCTGGTCTTTCCATTGTTGAATTGAAGACACTGAAGGAAGGGGCAGTGGGAGAAAGCGGATCTCTGGACGCTGAATGATCCACAGCAGCAATCCCTTCCGACTCCAAGCCAACCTTGAGTTCAGACGTAGAGCAAAACGCTTCCACTTCTGACATGTCGTTGACAGAGAAAGATCCATCAGCAGTTGGTCGGGGTGTTGAAAGCAAAAATCTCGAGCTTGGAAACACTGCAGGAACATAATGTTCTAGAACTTGGATTTCCTTGGTAACTGGAAGTGAGCTTGTCCTCAAACGCTGTAGCAACCATGTTCCCTTACTTGAAACTTGTACTTCACAAATTCCATCAACTCCAACAGGCACCCAAGGATCATGAGACAATTTTTTGGCCAGACAGACAAGGACGATGGGAAAAGGTTCATCGCAAAATGCCCGGCCTTCATCTTGTGAAGACGGATCCAGAGCTTGTCATCCAACAACTTGAGCAGCATCTTCTTGCTGGTAAAGTCAATCACAGTGCCCAACGACTCCATGAAATCCTTACCCAACAAGCATCCAAGCGAAGCACATGGTATCTCATTGATCCAAACCAAAAGAACTCTTCCACAAAGAACAATAGGAAGTCGCACCCTAGTAGTACTCAACAAAATACCACCATTACCAAAACGAAACTTCTCCTGCTCGGATTTCCTAATGACCAAATTCTTGATGTGATCAGGTGCAAACTGCAGGGCATCAAGCATCAACTGAATCCACATGGAACCTGCACAAGTTCGGTTACATGCACTGTCCATGGCCGCGACATACATCTTGTCAAAGTCTAACGTTCCATGCTCTGAAGAGTTTGAAGACATCAAAGCTTCAGACAGGGTCTTTTCGGCCACATTTATCTCATGCACTACCGGCTTGTCCTCAAAGGTGACAGTGGAGAAACCAGAAGAGGGAGCTGGAGCATGGGCTATCAAATCAACCACATTGGTCTCTCTGATCTCCACAGCATTTGCCTCAGTCTTGTTGCTCACTTTCTTGAACTTGTTCGAGCCTTTGCTCTTGCCTTTGGAAGCGCCCTTTGGACACTCCTTGTCACCTTGCCAGTGACCAGATTGGCCACAGGCATACCATTTGCCAGTCTTCACAGACTGACCCTTCGACGATGAGGAAGAAGAGGGACCTTTGTATCCACGGTCTTTACGCAAGGCAGCTATCTGCTGCTTGGCTTCCTTCATCGTTACTAGTGCTTCAACAGCTTGATCCAGGCTTTCTTCCAGACCTGTGATCTCATCCTCAGTCACTCCATCTTGAGCCAGCTCATCCAACTCTGCAGCCATCACTTCAACCTCAGACTGCAACTGCTGCAGCGCTTCATCATCTCCGGCATCATCATCTTCTGCAGCGGCCTCATTGGCCTCATGTTCCTCTTGATCCGCAGGATCTTCTTCATCTTGTTCACCTTCAGCAACATTGACAGACCTTGAAGACCTGTTTGTAGATGATGTCCTCCAAGAAGCCGAAGATGCACCGCTCGTTGAAGGGGCTGAGCGACGAAATGGAAAACGAGATCCATCTCTACGCTGAGTAGAAAAACTAGCCAAGCTCATCGGTTTCCGAGGAGGTTGACCGGCATTGGATCCTTGATGAACTCGCTTGAACAAGCGAATTGACTCTCGTTCACAATCTGGATAGCTTTCTGAAGCCGCACCCAACGTAGTCTCTAGGAGTTGACGTTGGAGTTCAGTCAAAGAAAGCTTCTGTTTGTACCACCAAGCCGCTTCAGCATCATCTATTGTAATCCCTTCTGCACGCATCTCCGCCAACGTTGTTCTGTACTTGAGCGCAAAGTTAATGACACTCTCATGAGGAGCTCGGCGAAGAGTGTTGTAGTATCGTTCACGAAGTTCTCCACGCTTGTCAGTGACAGTGCGTCCAACCATGTTTTCCCAGGCCTCCACAATCTTCCAAATGCCATGTGTGTAGTCAGCTGGTGAAGCTTCTGTCTCATCACCGGTGTTGGGGTCTGGCATCATCACGGCAGGCTTGTAGGCCAGGGTGTCAGGTTCAAATTCAAGCGCACATAGCTTTGCACTGCCCTTCTGCCGCATGGCGAATCTTGCCGCCAGATTGAAGAAGCGGGTGCGCTCCAAGTCAATTGACGACAACCACCATTTCAGCTGCCTCTTGAAGTCTCTAAGCGACTCCGCCTTTCCATCCCAAACCGGAATGTAAGAGTCAAAGCCACTCTCAACTCTGTCCTTCTTCGTGTCATCTTCGGTGCTCATGGCTTCACGAAGAGCTCAGCAAAGACGTAGGGCGCCAGCAAGAGATCTTGTCCACGTAGTAGAGGAAGTAGGCCACCAAGCTTGTCCACGTAGTTCAGGAGGAAGACAACCAAGCTCGTCCAAGTAGTTCAGGAAGTCCACGTAGTCCAAGAGGTAGGCCACCAAGAGCGCGAAGACGAAGTCCAGGAAGAGAGCACGGCGTAGAGGAAGGTCACGTAGAGCTCGTTGTACTCAAAGTCCAGGACGTAGACGTAGAGCAGCACCAAGGAGATCACAAAGATCAGAAAGTAGCGGTCACAAAGTTCAGGGAGTAGCGCAGCAAAGCAAAGAAGCAACAGCTGGAACACACGGCTCCGCTGCCACTGCGGAAACCCGGGGCCCAACGACGCCAAACAGCTATGGCACCCGCACAGGTTTTCCTCAGGGCGTGGCCAGGTAGCTCAAGCGCTGGAGCCAGGCCGGCGAGCGAAAGATCTGAACATGCTAAAACATGCACAAGCCATGGTGCCAATTCACAAATATGCAATTTCTATTCCAATTGGTCCCGGTTTTTTCCTGGTATCATGGGGATATACAGGGGATCTTATCTGGTATTTGACACTTAACATAAAAACCAATTGGTAACCACACTGGGATTTTATCGAACATTAGTAACGTTTGTGTGTGCACCATGGCACGTGATGGAGAATGATCATTCACCAGAGGATTTACCCGGCCTGGTCAACGTTTACAAAAAACCATGGAAAGATCCACCATTTTCTATCTGGGCAAATCCACTATTTCGACTGGGCCATGTTCAATCGCTATGTTAAATTACCAGAGGGTAACTATTAACCATTAACCATAGGTTAACCATATATTAACCATAGATAAACCACATGTTTGCCAGAGGGTCATCTGAAATCCTCGCCGCGCGACATTCTCGCAGGTGTGTAACAAAAGACTCGGCAGAACTTTGCTGTCGCACTCTTCAGGCCTGACAGGGCGTTGCGGTTGCGGCCTTTTCATAACCATAGCCTCCATGGCTGGGAAGTCCCCTATAGATGATCAGGCCATAAATGGGAATATCATTGAACTAAATTATTACTATAATAATTGGTGATGATTATATCATTAATTGTATTACTATGGTTAATAGTAATGTGGTTATAAACCATGGTTTAATAAACCACCCATGACTGGGAATGGTAAGTTTATACAACCTATAAAAATGGTGATTTTGGGGGATGGTTTATCGTTGTTTTAACCACATTATAGATTATCAATCAAAATGGGAATATCATATCATTGAAGTAAATATATTTTTCAGCAAACTATGTTTGAGTACCAGAGGGCAATGAAGTAGGTTATAAATGGTTATAACGTTTAATAAAATAGCATAAGTAGATGAACAACAAAAACCATAATTGATAGCAACAAAGCCTTCATTTCAAAAGGGTCAGCTTTGTCAAAACCCCTCTAAATTGGAAGGTGTTGTATTGCTTAAAGTTTAATAGGGAGGTGGGTTTTAATCACTTGTGTCGGTTCTGTAGTTGGACGGTTGTACTGATTTTACGTGTCAAGACCAGCAAGAAAAAATCGTCTCAAGCGTGGCAAAGAAAAAGGAACCTACCCTCTGGTAAACGTTTACATAGCTATGGAAAATCACCATTTTCAATGGGAAAATCACAAATTTTAATGGGAAAATCACAATGTTTAATGGAAAGATCCACCATCTTTAATAGGTAAATCAACTATAAATGTAGTATTTTCAATAGCTATTTTGACATAACCAGAGGGTACATGGGTTTCTCTGAAATTAAGGACCCCCTGATCCACTGGTCAATCATCAACTTCTTGCAGCCGTTTTTTCCATCAAGTTATCACTTCCAGTAGGCACTGAGTCGCAGGCACGGCACTGCAACTTCGTTTCACTTTCTGAAAAAACATATCACTTTGCTTCTGTCCCAACTTTTGGATCTCAAGGATGATAACAGCCTGTACAGTTTCAACCAGCATACTCTAGGATGACACAACTATTTACACCATGGA